GCATGCATATGTATTGTATTGTTATCAACTACTGCAAATAGACTACAACAAAAGCTAAAGTTTCTAGATGAATTCTGTAAAGACTGGTGTCTTACTGCCAATTTGTCCAAAACTAAGATCATTATATTCAATAAGGCGAGCAGACATTTCAAATACAATTTTATGTATAAAAGACAAAATGTTGAATGTGTTTCTAAATGTAGATATTTAAGTATTATACCGAAAGGCGCTAAAGATTTTTTTTCTTGGTCCCTCACCAAGGATTTTACTACATGTATTTGACGGCAGGACGATTTACGCAATACATGTACTAATAACTCATACTATCAGAATAATGGGGCAATATTAACCAATTATTTGAATAACAACACGTTTATTTGTGGAAAATCAATTGTTTATTCCTTAACCGCCCAGTTTAATGCCCGTATTACGCTGTATTGTCTAAGAATGTTGTATTATCTCCATTAATGGTACATATTTGCATTTGTAAATTACTGATATTAACATTAACATGTCCTATTGCATATGCCCTTGGTCTTTTTTCCAATCCAGTGACCTGCTGAAAATATGTAGCTTGCTGCTTTGGATAACAAGTCCTTTTGCATCGCCCCTTGGTCTTATTTTTATGTCAGTGACCTGTCCTATAGGCGCGGCTTGCTGATTTTGATAGGGACGAGGTGGACCCCTTTTCCTTTTTAATTATCTTGCACTGTATGTAGGGTGCCCCACCATAAATAAATATCTCCCAATATTTCGACAATTATACCACAATAAGTATATCTCACATTAATAGTCCCTAATAAACGGCCGTGTTGTATTTAACAAGTTATAACCATTTAACATCAACAAGAAAATTGACTGAACAAGCCAACAGTGAGGCTGATTTCCCCCGCCGAAATAAAAACAAAAACAAAAAAAAAACAATAAAAAAAAAAACCCCAAAAAACCAGATGACACATATTAATTAATTGCACATTTATCTTTTTCAAAAGTATCAAGGAATCAAACTGATTATCTATGATTAGTCTAATCATAAAATGTTCACTATCAAACTCATGTTTTGAAGTATAGGTAGTGAGTGAAACTATCACCTTCCATCAGTTAGAATCAAAGTTATCTTGTCCCGACCAAAGAAATTGCTTAGGTCTGCTTAGCTTTAATGGAAAATATTCATCATTGAATTCTATCAAGACATTCGCCTAATGCACATGTATACCTCAATTAAAAGCAGAATTGTTATGTTCCAAAGTCTTGACCAATCAAATTGCTTATCGCTACTTAGCCAAAGCAGAAAATTATCATCACCGAACTTAGTCAATGTATTGATATAATGAATTGATACAGTTTCATCGCTTTCGCCCAAGTAGAACCAAAGCTATCGTGTGCCAACGTCTCAACCAATCAAATTGCTCACCTCTGTTTAGCCTTAATGGCATTCACGTAATAGGCACCTACACCAAATTTGAACATTCTACCTCAATTAGAAAGAGAGTTATTGTGTTCTAAAGCCTCGACCAATCAGATTGAAGTCTCTACTTTGCCTAAGCAGAACATGCTCAGCACCAATCCTTGTTAAGGTATTAATGTAATAAAACAATACACGAAGTTTCATTACTATCACTCAATTAAAATCAAAGTTGTCGAGCTCCAAAGTCTCGACCAATCAAATTGCTTATCTTTGCTTACACTAAGCAGAAAATGCTCATCTTTAAACTCCATTAAGGCATTCACCCAGTCAACGCCTACGCCAAGTTTGAACATTCTACCTCAATTCGAAAGAGAGTTATTGTGTTCCAAAGTCTCAACCAATCAAATTGTTATCGCTCTGCTAACCCCGAGCAGAAAATGCTCATTATCGAACTTAGTCAAGATATTGATGTAATAAAACTATACAACAAATTTCAGCACGCTCACTTAATTAGAACTAAGGTTATCGTGTCCCAAAGCATCAACCAATCAAATTGAATATCTCTGCTTACCCTAAGCATAAAATGCTCATCCTCGAACTCCATGAAGGCATTGACCTAGAGATACCTACACCACGTTTGAACATTCTAGCTCAATTACAAGGAAAGTTATTGTGTATTGTGTCCCAAAAATGTGTGACGGGCGGACAGACAGACTGTCGAACCCATTTTAATAGTCCCCTGCTTTCTTCGAAAGGCGGGGGACTAAACATTGTCAATCCGACGCCATTTAATCCGGGCATTCTTGAGTCAAGAAAAGGTTTACCGACCGTTCTCCGGCGGATTGACAGTCCGTGGTAATCAAGACTATTTTCTACGAAACGTTACAGAAAGCTAGATCACTAATTCTAATTTTGAAACACGCATGTTAGGCAACTCAACGATTGTTTTGAGAACCTTGTAAAAACAAAAGGAAAGTAAATAAAATAAAACCAAGTATACGAACAATCCAAACCATTAGACAAAATTCGAAGTTCTAAAAAAAAAACGGTATAGGCAAAATAGTGTAATCAGCATATGGACTGTTCACCGTGTACAAAATACACGACAAACAGTGGTAACAGGTGTCCGGAAGAGTAAGCTTACCCTGCCTGGGAGCCACGGTGGCTAAGTGGATAAGACGCTGGCTCGCTAGCCTGGTGTCGCGTGAAAAAGTTCATCGGCATTTTCCGGCGTGGTTTCCCCTATTCAGTGGTGCAGGACGGAGGCCGTGCACGTAAAAGATCGCTTGGAAGCTGGAATTCGATATAAGAGTAGGTCATAGTGCCACTGCCCAGGCAAAATTTCCCTCCTTGCACACTGTATGACGTAAGCCCGTCTTCATTAGCCCAGTCGGGGCTGATTAGTAAGACGTTAAACACGATTTCATTTCATTTCTATTGTTGCCTAACGAAGGAGCTTCGGAGATATAAATTTTACTAAACCAAAAGATGCCGCTCCTAACGGTATAGATCATAATATAGCAAATTAAAAAACGAAACTAACGTAATGGATTTTTTTTCTCAAAATTGGTGGTAAGCATTGAGGCCAGGAGATGACGAACTCTGACGATATTCAGAGTTCCGCGACTTTCCGCTAGTTCCCTCCACCCATCCCCCTTTCCCGTCACAGTTTTTAATGTATTTCTTTTTTCAAATTTGAAAATCTGGTGTGACGCATTGTGATCATGTAAAACCATATCGACATTCAATTTTTGGTGCTTTTCCGTTTCGGAGTCATCCCCCTTTTACCAAAAACCTTATGATCGCGACGGAGGCTGCAGTTTTTAGCATAATTTTGTAATGTTTGGATTCGATTTCTTGAAGGCATACTTTATGCCTTAGCAAATTTGGTGAAAAACCAAGATTTGTTTTCGGATCAGATGCTGTCTGGGGCAATAATATCTTCGAGAGGAGGATGTCTCCTAATTGTTAAGATATGGCATAAGTCTATACCATTTTCTAATTACCTAATGAAAAAATTGTCTAAGTTATTGTGTATGTTGCCTGTAAGGTAAAAAAAATGCCTATGTCAAAATACACTTGTTGCCCAAGTCACATACTGACTTAAGCAGTTTCAAATCCCCCCACCCCAACATAATAATATTTTACAATTTTAGTGTAAATTCCTCCAAGGAGTCAATGAAGCTGATGGCCATACACATTTTAAGCCAATAATCTAAAATTTTGAATAAAAGTGATTTAGGCCGTTTTTGCTTTAGCTTGACGATAATCTGCGTTCTGGATGGCGTGAGGGATTAGCCAATGAAACCATCTGTTACGGAGTCAATGAAGCTGATGGTCATACACATTTTAAGCCAATAATCTAAATTTTGAAAAAAAAAGTGATTTAAGCAGTTTTTACTTTAGCTTGACGATAACCTGCGTTCTGGATGGCGCGAGGGAGTAGCCAATGAAACCATCTGTTACGGCGACTTCGTGGAGTGCGATGCACGGAACTGTGGGTGAACCACTAGAAACGTCAACGCTGATTGATTAATCTAAGTCTGACGTCAGTGTCAAAAGCCGTTCGTACGACCTCAGACGCGACCTTTTACTACACCCGGTCAGATCTTCGTGTAGTGTAAGCCATCGAAAGTATAATTAAACGAAATATAGATCTGTATTTTAATCAGATTGATAAACAACGTAAAGAAGATATGCACATTAATGTCTGGGCCTTAGTTGCAATGACTCTGGATCTGTTATCTGCAGCTTGAACATGGTCGAAGAAGGTATTATCAAAGTCTTATTTAGCTTGAATTGACAGGATTCTGGGCAAAGTGTTACATGGATAGCATTCGGTTAGATCTATTTCACATGCAGATTTCCCCAATGATTGCTGCCGAGGATTGTTGTCTAGGTTAGGGATAGCTCTAGCCCTGTTTACATCTTGTGGCCTATGACGAAATCTGCAGGTGTGTGCATGTAAGAATTGTGACTGGTTTACCAAAACGTCGCGATCAATTGAATACATGTCCAGGTAAACGAAATCTCCCTCTGCCCCCCACCCCCGCCTTAAACTTTGTCAGCATAAGCTTTCATGTCATTAAGTGACATGCAATGGCTTATATGGGTTTGAAATCTGATTCTATCCCGTTGTATGAAACCTTATGATCAATTAGGCTATTTAATCTATATTTCGTTTCGTTTTTTATACTTTTGATAGCCTATACTACATGAAGATCTGGCCAGTTGTAGTGTGTGTGTGGGGGGGGGGGGGGCGCCAGGCGTCATACGAGCGGCTTTTGACCCCATGAGATCAGACAGTTGATTAACCAATCAGCATTGATGTTTCTAGTAGGATACCCACAGTTCCATGCAACGAACCGTTTCACTAGCTAATTTCTCACATTACTCAGAATGCGGCTTATATAACACCTCTTCCAGGTCCTAGTGTAGTAAAGACAAGTAAAACGAAATTTTGAACTATAAAAAACGAAACGAAATAGCATCTGTGTTTTAATCAGATTGGCGAAAACGCATACATGGAAACGGGCTTAATGCTTAAATGTTTGTTGAGGGGACATAACTTGTAAAAAATCCAGAAACAAAATTACAAAAAATAAATACATTTTATTCAAAATTATATACAATAAACTGTTTTAGGTGTAAAATTGAATATTAAGTTGAGACCTGGTCGATTTCGCCAGCCATTCTTTGTGTTTAGAGTTACTTCCCTTCAATCGTTCTCAAATAATACTACTTCTTTTCAAGCCGAATACATCTTTCATGACCCTTAATTCAGCGGCGCCCTTCCAAATTATATTAAATTCATATCTTTCAATTATTAAAACGGCATTATGGAAGAGCTGACAGTTCAGCGCTTTATAAGTTTAAACAATAGATAATGTAAAGGGGGTATGCTGAACATTTTAGTCAAATTACTTCACTCTAAGCGGAGAAATCCTCATTTTATTAACACTATATCATGATTGTCATTGTTACAGTTTTACGATGATAAACGGTAAATGATCAACGGCCATTGAACAGCAGATCGGATTCAAATCTGTGGAAAATCGGACACATCAGATGGCATCGAGAAGTTGATTATGGTCTTGTCAAGTTAATAAATGTTTAATTAATAGTTTATATAGGCAAACTTGACTCTTGTATAATGCATGGTTAAGTAGAGATGTCAGAAATAGATGTTATAATGTAGTGACAAAGATAGTTTTTTATAATGAATTTTAACTATAACCCCTTAGACCTGTATATTCACGTAAGAGTCGAGGCAGTGGGTTGTAAAATTTAACGTCATAGCAATGATGACACATTGATGTACGCCTACATTCTTATTTAAATTTAACAAAAGTAAGAAATGAAAAGTATCAGTAATTTATTGGATTAAAAAAACGGAATTCGGATACCATCTTGGCGTCGATGCTTATACCTACCCTATGGGTAGAAATGAGTTATCCATCAGTCGATAGATGGCCGTGAATATGATAATTTTGGGACAACTTTAGTCAGGTATATTGTGCCTTTATGATGTACAAAAATATATGCTAAATCATTAAAAACTATATGTACAATTTTATACATTTTAAAATTTATAAACATGGAAAAATTATTTCCATGACTGGTTAGGGCATCCATTAATTATATGTTTACTGACACACACGAGCATGCTTATATCCTTTATTGAAGTTATATAGCATTTCAGACAAATTTCAAAAACCAGTTAAAACACATTTTGTTTTAACAAATAAAATACACACAATGATTTTAGTGACCATTGAACTATTGGTGAAATAATTACATGTATGTAGGCTCCGCGACTTCGACGGGAGAGAGAGAGAGAGAGAAATGGGGTTTAACGGTCACGTATTATATTACTCATGTACAATGCGCATTTGTTATCGGAAGCATTGCCGCTAGCGAGTGATACTTATCAACTGCAACGTGATCAAAAGTGGAACTGTTACTAACATAAATAATCCAAATCAAAGTAATGTGTCGTCCGATCTAGACAGTGTAGGCCTACCATGTCACCAAATTGAGTAGCACCTCGTCAAATCTAGCCTGAGTAGCACGTCACCAACTCTTGGCAGCACGTCATAAGATCTTATCACATTCTTTCATATAATTTAATTACTCCACTTTCATTTAGGGCCGTTTGTAATTATATATCGCAGTTTTTATAACGTATAATATACTATACCTACAGGATGAACATAATTTTAGAGTTGGGATTTTGCAAAGTAATATACGTATAAAATGCTGATGCTGCATTTTCACTTTTGTTTAATAGATATTATAATAGGAGAACTTCTCGGCCACGTCATCATAAGATTCTTTCAGTAAGCACAATAATATAAAACTCTCCACCAGACACAAGCCTGTTGCTATCCAATGTATCATAAATGACCAACCATAGTTGACAGCGACGCCTAGTGGGTAGATTTTATTAATATCTGCATCGGAATCACGGAGAGCTATGAAACATATTCCACTGACTATACCACACATGGCTGAAAAATGAAAATTGATTTTTTATAATAATAAAAAAATAATTGATAGGTTTGTGTCAATAAAAGTATGATTATAAATAGTTTAGATACGTATGCGTCTGGAATAACCGACAGAGTATATATAAAGAGGCATTACTGCTTTGGAGATCTTCGCCGTCGGGATTTTCAGTGATTCAATTATACATTGAAATTGGCGATGTTCAAATAAGATTGTATGCCCAATTTGAGACGGGTTGACCTCTCTATCATTGGGATATATACTGTTTTATATTCATATATAATGGTCTACTGTGTGGAAAATGTTGTACGCGGTAGATCCTATGAGGTAACCTTATTTAAAAATACATTAATGGTTTATAAGGCAAAATCGATACAATTTGTTAATGCAGCGGGCCACTAGCACACAGAACTTCTTATGTAGGGAAGTGTAGAGAAGGCTTTGTGAACTTTACTCGAGTTTATCTGTGGATAATGTCCCAAATATATATATAATATATTTGGTACGTAAGTGGTTTGTTTTGAACAAAAATAGCTTATTTACCCCGAAAATTGACCCCTTTTACCCGACAGTAAATTCCATTCGTCTTCTTGTAGAATGCGAGGGGGGGGGGGGATGAGATTATCCTAATGGCAAAATTTGTGCCCAATAAATTCCCTCATGACCACCTATTTTTTGTCATAAACTTTCAAGTCAAACTCCAGAAGGTTGTTCTCGGTAATGGGTTAAGTCCTATTATTACACGATCTCCACGTATATGTAGAATTAAAATGTATAGTTACTTACTGGCTAAGAGTAACATTAGAGCTGATGATAGGTATAGCCGAGATCTTTTGATGAGTTTACATTTCGCAGGCCATACTCCACAGATTAGAGTTAAAAGGGTAGATAATTGCACTGCCCCACAAACAATAGCAAACGCCACATAACTTCTAGACAAATCTGTAAAAAAAGACAAAGTTAATAATTTAAGATAAGTAAATTCTCTTTTATCCCGTCAAACTAACCAATTGCATAATTATGTACTTTGGCATGAAATATATAAACTGTCTTTGGCATCAGCTACACCTTTAACGCAATGCGTATTTGCCGTAGATGGCATTTGTAAGCCATGTGATAGTGGCGTTCAGATGGACTAAAAGCGAAACAACGGGTTACAATAAATACTCACGCATATGCAATTTTACGAAAAGTTAAAAAAGATAAGCCTGCTCTTAGTAAAAAGCCTTCTCGTAGACAATAAGCCAGCTGGGCTTTTAAACAAGTTAATTTGATCCACCGACAAAAGCTCTGCTAGCTTGACCATAACCCGTGTTTTTAACTTAAGTGTCTTAAAGTCATCTTAAATCCAAAGCCCCGATGCACTTTTTATCTGCTAATATTTGCCACGCAAGAAAAAGCCATGATAAGTGAAAATAATGTTGATAAATACTAAATAATGCGAGGTATTTGAGTAGCCAAGGGAACGAAAATGAAATGGGGTTTAACGTCCTACTGTTCTGCTCCTATGCTGAGCTAATTAAGACGGGCATAAGCCATTCAGTGTGCTATGAGGGAAATTTTGCCCGGGCAGCGGCACTATCGCCTACTTTTATATCGAATTCCAACTGCCAAGGGAGCTTTTACGTGCATTCCAATGTATACACGAGACCCTGGTTTTTCGTCTCATCCGAAGGACTAGACAGCTGTCCATGTCAGGCCCTCCGTGTTGCATCACTGACAAGGGGGAACCACGCCGGAAAATCTGGATGAACTTTCTCGGCCAATGCAGGGATCGAACACCCGACCTCCAGGCTAGCGAGCCAGCGTCCAAGGGACCGAACTCGGTACACAGTGTAAGTGTAGATTTTCCAGAGGAGTATGCATCCGGCACGGTCACTTATATCCCAATTAAAAATGAGTACTATAAATATAAAAACTGGTCCCAATTAAATCAACTAGAACATAAATGCATTTTAGCTCAACCAGAATAATGACAGATTAAAGTAGTTTCTAGTAAAATTGTATTTACGTTTTAATGGTTTTCACAGCTTGAGAACCAAAAACTTATATTTTACAACAAGAAATTATTAATACTACAAACATATGTTATAATCTGTATTTTTTTAAAAGGATAAAATTTGTTTTAGGTTTTTGCACATCTACACTGTAGATTCTACAGCTACAGTGAGTTACATAATTGGAATTTCGAGTATATGCCATGGTTATCAGAAAACATAAAACACCCACACCAATACTCAGGCCAGGATACACCGACCAAACTTCTGGCTAATACTTAAAAAATTTGGTATTTGTTTTTAACGATTGGTCTTTATTTGTTATTTCATTTCAGTAAATTTCTGTAACGCATAATTTTATATTATGCTTGTTTCTTAATTCGATACTAAAACTAGCGGTATATTATTCCGATAGAAACGGAGCGTGCGAGGGGGTCTTTAACAGCGTCTCGTGAGGTAAGGTGGGGTGGGGGCCCTGGTAATGTAGGCAACCCTACATCTTATCACGTGCAACCATTAGGCCCCTCAATGCATTGTGCCATCCGGGAATTTACAGCCTACTCTTGTTTCGATTCCAACTATCAGGGGATCTTTAACGCCTTGTTAATGACATATACAGGCCCACATTTCAATTTGAAAAAAAAAGTTATAAATAAAAACGGTCAAAGACCTCTTGGTTATTTCCAAAGACAAAGTTATTACAATGATCACGCAAAACATGCAATCGACATATATGATAGAAAAAAGCGAGTGTAGCCGTTTTGTTGTAAAATTAACGAATCGTAAAAATGTAAAATTGTGTTTAATCAAGGGAGATAATTCACGCGTTATTTGAACGGATCGATAAAAAGTAATTATAAGACAATGTGACGGTTTTTCAAGACTACGTGAACTTGCATAGCAGGCTTTTTGTGGATTTGGGATCAACTGCTCTTTCATCAGAATGGAAAACTGCTTAACGTTGCGTCATTAACATGGGGAAGAACATGTTGTATATTTATTGCAATGATTTTTTTGCATGCAGAAGTCTTTACTAGTGAATGTGAGGAAACTGGGGAACGTAGAAAACCCACGAGGTTAGGCATTCCTTGGGATTAGGAGGAATCCGCGGAGCCCAGAGAACATCAACGCAGTTAAACACGCGACCATATCCGTTGTCACTTCAAAAGATGGGGTCAATCTAAGGATATTAAATTCACGATATATTTTATGATCTGCAGTGTACTCATCTGGTTTTAGAAAAGAGTAATCATACAAGGAAAGCACATCTACATGTACCTATGCTCTAGCTAACCACCGAGATAATAATGTAAAAAGCTACTTACGTAAATGTAATCGATCATCATAAGATAAATCATGTTCGTTTCTTTTTATCAAATCTTTATAAATATACACACAATCTCCAGTTTTCATAGATTCTTTTAGCTCTATAATAAAAATAAAACAAGGGGTTATTGTTATTTTCACATTCAGGTAAATTGAAACGGGGTTTAAAGTCTCCTCACATGAAATAGGTTAAATTACCCGTATATTTACGGGCACATGGCCCTTTAACAGTGACGCTTGCCAAAATGATGGATATTATTATGATCTGATCGCAATGCTCTAGACTATTTGGTCTCCGTATGCATTTAGATCAGCGCCTACCCATTTACAAATACTATTGTGAATTTACAAGTTATTCTTTTATGCATGTGACAGTAAAAATACATTAATGGATAAATGCTATTAGTTTTTCACTGAGGAAATGAGAATAGATGCGGGATCCTCCGTTCAAATCGCGGAGGTTAAGTTCCCGTTTATAAGGGACGGAAAGGCCTGCGAAGCTGACCCGGAAGTGTCTGTTATTGGCCCACATGAGAAAAGAACAACAGATCTACCTGTGTACATATTGGGGAAGCTGACAAGGAACATGTATTAAGTGGTCCAGATGGAGAACAACAGATCTACCCCGTGAACACATTGGGGAAGCTGACAAGGAACGTGTTTGTTAGTGGTCCAGATGAGAGAAAACAACAGATCTACCCGTGTACACATTGGGGAAACTGACGAGGAACGTGTTTGTTAGTGGTCCAGATGGGAGTAAACAACAAATTCACCCGTGTTAGGGTGACCCATGTACTCACAGAAATACAGTCCACCGCTGATAGTTCGAGACTACCACTGAAGCGTGCACATTCGCCGTGGCGAGACCAACTTTCTGACAGTATGATACTATAAATAGCCATGGCACGTGCAATTCTCTACAAATCTATCAACTATTACAGCCGTAAAAAATTTATTGTTGACGATTTTGAATAGCAGTAAAATTAAGCTTCTTGGTTATTACAGCAGATTTAGAAATTACGTTCGTTTCATTTTTTAAATCGCTTTATCATTAACTGTACCGTTAAGAGCGGCATTTTTTGGTTTAGTACAAATAATATCTCTGAATCACTCGGGTTAGACAGGAACATGATACTAGCAGTAGTTTCATTTTACTTTTACAAGCTTCTTAAAACGATTGTTGAGCTACCTAACGTGCTTATTTCTAAATTCAATTTCTTGTTCTAGCTTTCTGTTATGTTTCGTAAAAAAGTAGTCTTGATTATCCCGACCTGTCAATCAGACGTAGAATGGTCGATAGACTGGTTAAGCGAGACTAATTTCAAAACAAGGGCACGTAACCTATCTTTTACTCAAAAGTGTCTGGATGTTATGGACGACTCTTGGAACCAGTTTTCAGTCTATTATTTATACATGATTAATGGTCATAGCTTATTAAGTACAACATGATCGTTTATTTAGTGACTATAAATGTGTGAACTGATTTGATGCTTGGCATATATATAAATATTGTGGCGTAATTGTCGAGATATATGGAGATATTTATTTATGGTGGGTCACCCTACCCGTGTACACATTGAGGAAGCTGACAAGGAACATGTTGTATGTGGTCCAGATGGAGAAAAACAGATCTACCCGTGTACACATTGGGGAAACTGACAAGGAAATTGTTTGTTAGTGGTCCAGATGGGAGAAAACAAATTCACTCGTGTACACACTGGTGTATACTAAAAGAAATCTCGTCTGGTAATTAAAAAAAAGTGTACACATTGGAAGAGGCGGGTACGTAAATGGACCCATGACATTGGGAATTATAAGAAGAAAAGGAGGTAACGCGGAGCACAATTCTCAATGCATGCATTGCACCCGTGATCATAGAGCAATTTAACAGTATGTTAGTCTCAAAATGGCTAAAGTATTTCTGTACTTAATATATTATATTAAACATACTTTTAGCCAAATATCTGCTATTTGCAAGAGTAATCCAAATGCTTTATTCGTTAAAGCATACCATAAATAGATAAAAAAAAGAAAGTCGACTAAGCCATAGAATCAATGAAGATATGCAATAATTCTTTGTGAAGTAAAGTGCACAAAAACTATAACCAAGGTCGTCAATTATTTCCCACAAATACTGGCAAATTAGAGAATAAATGGGTTCAATATTCGTCTTAAAACAGTGTTTAATGAATCGAAAAGAAGAAGTGAATGAAAGCGTGAAGAACTACTTCAACAATTACAGCCTCACTTCTCCTTTAAAGAGACTCTGCAATTCTGGTGTCAAACAAAATGTTTCATTTTGAAGGAATTTGTGTTCTAGAGAAGGGGATTAATGCCCACTCAACACAAACTAGATCTTCTCGGGACTAAAATATGATACTCTTTTTTTCAATGATTCGCTTCCACGTATGGATCTGTATGGAAGGAAACGCGCGGTGTTAAACAAGCTAAGCTAGTCCTTGTAGTACAAACCTGGAATCAAAAGCCAAGCCACCTGACATAGTGGCAGACCTTATGTTCCCAACCGCAAGCTTTAGACAACCCACCCTTTCCCCCATATTAATTACTAAATTGAATACCTGTCGCAGACCCTCTTCTCACGACCGTGCTCATTTGTATTGCACTGTGAAGCGAGTTGATATTGTCATAATTTAAATAACGGTAATAGTGATTTCATTTTCAGATAAAATGGTAACAGATGCAGTTTTTCGTAGATATTTTTTAATCCACTATTTTATGTCGTACAACATTAGTCGGGTCGTAAATCGATATAGGTTTAAACTAATAGTGATTTGGTTTTCAGATAAAATGGTTGTAACATGTCGTCTGTAAAGAGACTCTACTATTTTATGAAGAACAATATCAGTGACCGATATTCGCCCGTGTACACAATAGCCCGCAGGCATAAAGGTAGAGAGAGATAGAAATGGGTTTAAAATAGACTCGACACAAACTTGGTCATTTCGGGACTAACATAAGGTTAAATATTATTTCAATAATTCGCTTGCGCGTAGGGGTCATTAGCAGTGGGAGGAAACCGGAGGACCCGGAGAAAACCCCATGAGATTGGACGGGCGACCCTACTCCGTTGTCACGTACAAGCGGGTAGTCGAAACCACACCACTTGACTTGGCAGATCTCTTTAAACCATTCAGCTACTCAACCAACCTCGTAAAAAGGTCCTTAGTAGTTTGATGACGAAGAAGGGTAGGCGGGGCATTATTTTCATGTTATATATCGAATACATGTCTGATCCTAAGTGTTTCAATACCAGTCTCAAAATATTTGATATCTTGATCAAAGTTTACAGTTGGAATTGCAGTGAACGAAAGAAAATCTAAAATAGCAAAATGAAATAGGGTTTAATGTCATACTTTTATACATCGACTAGACTAATGGGAGGGGGAGCGAGAGAGATGGGATTTAAATCCACTCGACACAAACTGGGTCATTTCGGGACTAACATGGTTCAATTTATTTTCAATAATTCGCATGCTAGTAGGGTCTTTAGCAGTGGGAGGAAACCGGAGGACCCAGAGAAAACCTACGAGGTTGGACAGGCGACTATACTCCTTGTCACACACACCCGGGAAATCGAAACCACGCCAGTGGACTCAATAACAGACCTTATGATACAACGTCATCCGTGCTTCCCCACCCCCGGCGGTCTAATGAAGTTGTTCTATGAATGAGTTAATTTTGCGCGAATGATGGGCTACCTTTATTTCAAATTTTCACAAGTTCTTTTACATACACGGAAAGTTGTACAGGGGACCTCGGCTTACCGGAGCATCCGAATATTGGCCAGGATCGAACCTCGGAACTTCCGGTTAGTGTGCCATCGCCATATACAATTTACGGGCACCATACTCACGGAGCTAGGTGCCTTGCATTATGTAAAATGTGTCTAATGTACACGTACTTTTAAACAAGCTAAAACCCCAACTTTCTTATACGAAAAGTTCATATTGTAATTTAGCCAATATAAAGTTACAAAACCAAGAAATTGCGAGCCTTTTATGTTAGAAACATTAAGCGAGATGACAAAACCACTTGAATCCAGTCAATGGTAATCACATCTTTTTCAGTGAGTCGAGTAACTCGCCAGGACCAAGAATCAATGCTGGGGTCTCTCGAGACTAAAAACATTCGATTTCTCATCAAAGCTTATTTTATGGTGTTGCTTGAAGAACAACGCAGCCCACAATAAAACTATTAGCTTGCTCCGCGCATTGATTAGCTCGTTCAAGGGGAGGTAATAAATTGATCTTGATGTTCTAAGGGAGATAATTGATTGATGACTCAGACAAGGGGGATAATATATGGAGTAGGCTACACGTTAATTATATTATCTCTAGTGGACTGTCTGTAGTTATTCACTTATTTACCATAAAGATGCTGGAATCTTGACAAATGGTCTCCTATGTTTTGCGCAACTGACATTTCTATTCAGGAGGTAAAAACTTAAATACTCACTGGTGATAACTTGGAGGCGATTATTCATCGTAATTGTATTATTGCAACTTGCACGTATAGCAGTTGTACAACCCGAAACTTATCGTCAATTGTGCCCAATAAGAACAGCTTGGAATTATTGCAATTCATAATATAATTCTTATACGCAATCGGTCCAAAATGTTAATCATGAACACAAAAATCCATTAAAAATATATTTCTTCGAACATCAGTATGAAATTTTTAACATCAGCAATAATCAAATGAACAGAAAAATTTCCAACAGACACGCAATATTTGGGACTTATTTTAGCATTATATAATGAGACTTACCATAAAAACTACATTTATCAACAACCGAAGTCTGGCCACGTTTGATTTTTGAGGATATAACCATTTTGGCATTTTTCAAAATTGGTTCAAAATATGATCTGGTCCATTATCAAGGAAGTTACATGTAACTATTAGTGACAAAACGAGTAAAGGGATCTTGGTCACATTAAAATTTAGACCTACGTCCCTGGAACGAATATTTCTTTATCACAGCCCGGAAACATCGTTTATTTTCTTGCCGCGAAGTAACTAAATACACTCTAGGAGACGATTGAATTTTCAACATCCGTACGCATATTATTTTTTACAATATGCCGACGCCTTAATCGAGAGAGAGAGAGAGAGAGAGATGGAGAGAGAGAGCTCTATAGACCTAACAATTTGAAACTGTAATTTTACTCTAACAGATAATATATTGTGCAGTATTATATTTGTTATGAAATAAAAACACATTTCCGGATAAAGTACGTGGAAATTATAAATATAATGGCATATAATACAGAGAGGGAGGGGGTAAATGCCTGTATAAATCTAATAATTTAACATTTTATTTTTAGTCCCACAGATATATAAGTATATTGTGCAGTATAGGTCTGAAAAATAAAGACGACAAATAAACTTTTGTTTCGGTTATTTTTCCAGTCTCAAATAGTTCTGCGTATTTAGAGCTAGCAACAACGTAACTTCTAAACTCACAAAGGCGGCTACTAATCACAGGGTTTTACGGTTGAATAAAAGTAAATTTCACACCCGTTCGGTGTTGTTAAGTTGCCGTGGGGGTGAGTTTAAAAGATAGAAAAAGAACGAAACTATACATGAGGTGACTCTGAACCGAGAATCGTTACAACACATACGTCATTGCTTACAATCAACTAAATTAGAAATAAAATCACCGAGTTTTAGCCAAAGTTTAATCAAGTTCGAGACTATGTATTTTTAAAAGAGTAACGAGTAAAGAAGAATATTTTTTCATGGCTTCATTGATAACTAAGTGAATGAATATTGTGACGTGAATGTCTGTTTTGTATGGTGGCGACGCCTTTTTCAATGTTAAGCTATAGAGAAAAGAAAGCGACGTCGGCTTTTTAACACGACGTCGCCCTTCGCGTCGCGTCGCCTTTTCTAAACGGATATTGTTTACATTTTTGGTGATGAAATACGCATGTACCAGGAGAATTCATTTGCGGTTTATTTACCATTTGGTATTTTATCTTCAATATACATGTATTGATTTATGCTGGTCACAAGGAATTGCCATTAATATCCTTTATATAACAAGACATTTCTGTAATATCCAGATTATATGTTATTTTCTAAATCTCTGTTCTAAACTTAAAATTTTAAACTCTAGTGTGAAAGAGTCCTTGTGCGCGTCGCTTTTTTTTCAAGGGCGATGCGAGACGTGGGAAGTGGCCGAAATAGAACACCATAGTTTTGGGCGAATGTGTGCTGCCTGCACTGGACGAGCGAACCTGTAACTGAACTTTTCTCATTCACGGCTGTTGTGATTAGAGCGGAAACAGGCTGAACAACAGGTTAGTAATTAAAGCACAAATATTTGAGGCTGTGAATCACCCTACAAATTGACTTAAATTTCATATTAAGCCCACCACAAATTAAACAAGATAATTATCACATAGCTTCAATTAGTGAGCCTATCGTTGGATAACGCGACCGTTGTCCTGATTATCTATTCATCTAATAGTAAGTGCAAGGGGGCTGCATCACACATAATTACACAAAACAAATCTACGGACAAGATACAATACGCAGAAATCACAAACAAACGTACATCTCAAATTGAATGTATCATACAATGACGAGTATATAGGATCTAACATTTTGGGTCCCAAATGTATTTCCAACTGATAGCAATGTATTTAATATTGTAAGATATTTACACGTATCTTTAAACGAATGGCAAAATCTAGACAATAGTAAGTGGGTTTCCAAAATTAGATTAATTTAAAATAGCGAGACAAATGGTAATTCAATATTTCAACATTTCGCTTGCGCCCAGCAGTAGGCGGTATCTGGAGAACCTGGAGAAACCCCATAATGCCAGACTGATGACCCTGTTTATTGTCATGTAGTGATCGAGGGTATTTCTATAAAGTAACAAGTCCGACTTGGTATCAAGGCGTCTGCAATAATATCAATGTTACCTATTTCAAGTCTAAAGCACTATCTGAATTGCAGCCACTGCAAATAGGCGATATTTACGTCAATTCCCGCTGGTTATACGGGATTCCATGGACAGGTGGAAAAGTCTGGGTTATCCTGATGGGACACCTGTATTAAACATGGTAAAATCACAAAAATCACGCACAAGCCTAGAATCGATAAAATGACAGGCCTCATGATCTAAACCGAAAGCGTTAGCCCACTCGACTACCTCTTCATTTTGAGAGAAATGGGGTTTAACGTCCACCCGACACAAACTAGGTCATTTCGGGACTAACATATGGTTTAATTTTATTTCAATAATTCGCTTGCGCATAGGGGTCTTTAGCAGTGGGAGGAAACCGGAGGACCCGGAGAAAACCCACGAGGTTGGACAGGCGACCCTATTCCTTGTCACGTACAACCGGGGATTCGAAACCACGCCAGTCGACTCAATGACAGACTTTATGATACAGCGCGCGCACGCTAACCATTCAGCCATCCAACCCCCCTGGATGGATAGAATATCGTCATTGTGACCTGTGACTTTATGGTCGTCGGCCTAGTGATGTTACGTGATAAAAATTCGACAGGCGTCAAATAGTCAGACGTTTAACTAGAAGTGAATAATTGAATAAACAATGCAAACAATGGGTTACAAACACGAAAAGTGGTATTGGAATATATGATAGATGGGCGTTAAAAAAAGTAGACTCTTACCGTTCGGTAATGTATTGTAGCATCTTTTCCACATGCCATAATGATAATTCCATTTCGATTCGAACGTTGTGTTGGATTTGTCTTCGGTAGATACAGAGTACCAGTTATCTGTTAGAATTCCGACAAGTGTTAGAGCCAGGGAGGCAAGAATCATAAACAAAACTATTGCTAAAAATACAAATTGTTTTCCCATTTTGTAGTTATGTCTCTATTCAATTCCTAAACACAAAGATAAAAATATTAATTCTCGATAATTTTCACAGTCTATTCAATAGATATGCACATATGTTAGTGATAAGATGATATGAACACTGGGCACCGTATCACTAAGTCTAAATCTTAAGTCACTTATAAATATCCAGCTATATAACGCAGCACAAAATTTATCCAGAAAACAATCCTGTTCGTTAAACTATAATATACATCTCCTGTTTCAATAGATTTCAGTTCATTACACTTGAAAATTAAAAATGTGTAAGAACGACACGTATTATGTCACAGATTGTTTGATGTTTCTTGCAGTTGACTAAGTCGTTAACATAGCCACACAACAGGGCAGGTGAGAAGAGTTCGCTTTGTAGCAACCCGTGATGAGCGAGTTTAATGTGACTTACAGCAGAGTGTCAAAAGCTCACTGGAGCGAAAAACACTAACACGAACCAGCCTTCATATCTGAAATATATGAGGAAAATATTTAATTGATTTTCATCGTTAGGTTATTAAAATAAATAATTGTTGTAGCTGACAGAGTGTCACTTTCAACCAGTGAAGTTAAGGGACACCGTTTCAAGTCTCGACAACGTATTATTTTGGTCATTTTAGACCAACCATTGAATATATTTCTAATTCTGCACTGCTTCAAGTAGGGTGGGGGAAGGGGAAGTCCCGGAATCGCGACTGTCATTGGGTCTGTCAATAATTTGCACGCGGGTCCGATCCGAACGACTAGACACCATTTTCATGTCATACCTAAATGCTATACTCTATTACGACGCTTGTGTTGGAACATGATGCATTCTAGCCCAGATTCATGTGAACATATTTATTATTCCAACTCAGACCTTTGTTAATGGCTGATTGGTGATGAAAAAATGTTTTGGCTTCAACAGACGCCTTGCTTCTTTACAATTCGTAATGTTGCACCAAACCATTCATAAACAAATGTATAAATTAAATGCAATTGAATCTTGCACATATATTACATAGAGAATCTCCTACCAGTCTTTTTTAATATCAAAAAATACGAGTAGGAGATATTATTTATCACCCAATCGCTTCTTACATGCACAAATAGATAAATATAATTCTTTGCTGTAGATTTCACTTTTACTCAACATTACGGCGTAGTGATACATCATTTTTTTTACAGCAATTCAACCATTGCAAAGTCCTTTATATTGACACAGTGTTTCCATAAGGTCAATTGAATAACAATAGTTCATTTTAATAAAAAGGAGTCACTTTTAATAAGAAATGAACTGTTCTTTGAAAATAAAAAAAGTAGTTCCCTTTTAACTGACCAATCAAATTCATGTAAAGCGATATCTCCTCGCAGTAGATTATGAAATATATCACACAAGCGATATCTACTGTAGAATGTATTATTGGGTGATAAATGAAGATATCTACATATTTAATTCGAATTATATATTATAAATTACTGTTATATGAATAGGATTGACCCGAAAGTATAGACATGTGCTTAGTGCATCTCGTTCAGATGGTGTTGACATATCATTATAATGCTCTATATCTGTCTAATTTTAATGTGAACTGTGAATCATTATATTTATATAGCCCAATAAAAGACACGGGAAACAGCTCTCCAAGTATTGTGCCTTCCTTTTTTTAAATTTTTTTATTTTTTTTATTTATTTCTGTTCGTAGTGTTGGTTTTGTTTGTTTGTTTTACCTATGTATGAGTTAGTCTGTTTTTATGCAAATGTAATACAGAATCTTACGGAAAATTCAAGCCCCGTTCCCACTTGTCGTGACTGGCGCATGTGAGGCTGACACCGAAAGTATATCTAGTCTTTCTGGTGGCGTGAAAACCCAATACAAGTGTGCTAAATGACAGTGCACGTAAAAGATCCCTTTGCAATTAGAATTCTAAGTCCACACACGCTTCCTCTTATTGAGTAAAAAATATTGTGTTTGCAAGACCTTAAGCCATTAGACATTACATTTTATTACAACATGCGGAAGATGCATTATTAATTACATTAAAACTTGATTTTTATTTTCCACCATTTTTAAAATTTACAATGATTCGAAAAGTAATTTAGTGTAGTTTAATAATTTATAATTCGTTAAATTTTCCAGAATAGCTATCAAATTATCTTAGATAACATGGCTTAGCCTCCACCAAGATTAATTACTCAATTAAATGTTACACGTTTGTGGTTGCGAGTAATTGGGGTTTCACACCCTGAGTATTACATAATCTTGTGTGAAGCATGTACGAGTGTAATCAACGTCTTTTCATCGGAAATTAGATTAAAGTTGAAATTAGTCGTACGTGTTATGAAAATAACTATCGGCCAAGAAATGTGAAATAATATTGAATCTACGCGAAGAAAGACCGGTTGAGTCAGTGTATTGTAACTCGGAAAATGAATTGAGGTTTGGCGTCCAACTGCTCTGCAATGTAACTCTGAGTGCATTTTGAATTTAAGTACTTTGTAAATGAAAATGAAGTGAGGTTTAACATCTTACGTTCTACACCAAACAGGCTAATGGTGCATAGCACACTGAATGGTGAATGACCATTTGTACACCATCCAGGCTTATGGTTCATAGCACACTGCATGACCATTTATACACCAACCGGGCTAATGGTTCACAACACACTACATGGTGTATGATCATTTATACACCAACCATGGTGTATGATCATTTTCATTCTCCCAGTTGATCTAAAAAAGTAGGACGTTAAATCCTACTTCATTTTATGACATTTGATTGAATAAAATATTATGGATTTAATTGGACCTTGACTTGTGTTAGACTAGAGACTGATTATCGGATTTCGTTGACAATTTTACATATAGATAGAGCAAGTGTTAAGACATAACCTATATTATGCTCCATTGTCGGCACAGTTAGTTACCCCCCCCCCCCCTCCCCAACAACACAACAAAAAATACAAGCCTTATGATATGAAACATACTTTATAAAGCTTGATCTATTAACACAATCGAAATAACACATCAGATAAACCCAATTTAAAAATTTATTTTGACCTAAATCAAAGTGGGTTAGTTACTTTAAGATACCGTCGATAATAGAAAACATAACACTCCAAAAAAATGAGTATATTTTCGGTTATTTGACTCTACTGTGCGCTATATTATATGGTTGAAATGGGTCAACAAGCATTATATAAATATATTACACGTTTCAAGGGTTGGGTAAACACTGTGTGATGATTAATAGTTATATATATGCGTAATTAAAAGACAGGTACATACACCTGTATTCTTCTACACGTTTCAGATCTACCCATGTTGAACAAAGGCGTGGATTCGGGGCTCGGGTGCGGACCAGCCGTAAACATATAAATGATTATATATATATGAAAATTAAAATGTTGATTAAAGAAACACAGTATTATGCGGCTAGACCTTTAATGCATATTCTCCATTATTAATTATAAAACAATAAGAATAACGCCATGGTTATAATACTAGAAAGCCATAAAGGGGAATAACTCTTCAAGTATGACGTTTTTGATACTAAATGATATTAATACATACAATCACACAATAAATTATTCTTTCACATTTTAATAGTTTGAGTTTGTACTTTTTAATAAAAACTAAACACATGTTTATGGCTAACGTTTTCAGTTCTCTTTAACCTCTTCATGCCATATTTATATAATGTAATGTAAGACAATGACGTTACGTTAGAGCGTATTCCGAAACAGGAAAAAAATATCAAATTAATTGATAGTAAAAATCCAGATAGTAAAATATAATAAAATATAACATCTAACATTATCAACATTCAATTATCCAATTTTCTGATTTAAGGAGGGCATATATTTTTAAGTTCATTTCTTTACATTCTAATAAATGACTATTTTTAGAATTTTCCTTGTAAAGAGGGAAACCCTTGATCACACCTCGTCCGCATTTTTCGTAATGGATACTGAGTTGGATTGTTCCGGGTGCCTAATTTTCAAACGATGGAGATTCTTTTTAATATTTAGTTGGTCATCAGTTTTCCCAATATATTTTTCAGGACACCCATTGCATATTATTAGATATATCACATAATTGGATTTACAGTTCAGATTTGACTTCACATGAAATTTTGTATCTGTAGTGATCTGGATTGAATGGCCCTCAATTAAATATGAGCATAAATGGCATCGTGAGCCCCCACACTTAGATAGTGAAGGTTTTGAAATATCCGAATCGAATCTGGATTTCGCCAGAATCCTACGTAAATTTGGAGACTGTTTCCGACTATTTATCAATTTACTATTTTTCAGAATGAATTTTTAAATTTTTGAACTTTTAATCAGTTCACCCTGATTTGAAAGAAACAAACCCATTTCCTTTTATTGCGAAGGGGTGAAAGTAGTGATTAGATTTATTACTTGGCTTTTATTTATAAAGTCTTTATTGGCCCTTTTTAAAGCTTTATTGAATCCGTTAGTAATAAAATTTAAAGGATAATTTTGTTTTATTAAGAAATTTCTTAATTCATGAAATGTGGAGTATTTAACTTTATTATTAGATACTACAGTACATACTCTTAAAGCCATATTGTAGGGAATATTACGTTTTATATGTGATGGGTGACATGAGTAAAAATAAAGATATTGGTGTGTATTACGTTTTATATGTGATGGGTGACATGAGTAAAAATAAAGATATTGGTGTGTATTGGTTTTTTTTCATAATATAGGTCGGTTTCAATTTTACCATCTGTCGAATTTGCTACTGTTACATCAAGAAAACATAGACTAGATTTGATCTTTTCGATTGTAAATTGAATACTATCGTTTAGTGAATTGGGTAAACAATGTAAATCGGCAAAAACGGAACCATTTTGGTTAAATATTATGAAACAATCATCTAAGAATCTCTTCCAGTTTATTTCTCTGTATAGTTTTAGTTAATATAAAGCGCCCACCTTTAAATTAGTATTTTAGTGTCTTTTTTAAAATTTAGTTTATATATTAGTTGGGAGTTGTATTTACGAAAATATTTCTGTTATTAAATAAACAGGTCAGACTGTATGCTCGGACACGATTCTGTGACACAGAACAAGAACGACTCAATGAGAAACGAGAAAAAATCTTTATTGAAATATATAGAGGATATTTGTCGTTTTAGAGTGAATAACATATTTTATTTCATCTCTAAGCAAGAAAACATTTATATTTTCACTCATGCGTTATTGACGACAAAACGACAAATGTTCTATTTATTTTAGGATTTTACAATCATTTTAGGTAAAAACAACATGGACTACTTTAGCCAGTGGAATAACACATTTATTTCACTGATAAAACGCGGTATTCCACTACTGATCATAAAATAAATATATATATACACACGACCGTAGTTCCTCGACACCTTTCGCAAATATATATCAAGGGGTTTGTTAGTTGCGTATGGAGAGGGGTGTGGATGGTAAATACTGATTTAAAATCTGTCAAGATGAAGAGCAAAGACATTTATATGTTATTAAAATCTGTCTAAGAGGTACATGAAGTTATATATTACGATAGTACAGAAGATATAATTACTGATACCGAACACCGTGCGTTATTTCCTTATTCTTATTTAAATTAGTATCCTCTCACAACTCTTTAATACAACATTACTAAACATTTATATGATACAACAAAAGAATAGTTAGACATATTAACCCTTGAAATGAGAAGTGGTCTTGGAAGTTATAGCACGAACAAGCATGTACCCCCCCCCCCGCCCCTTCATTATAATAATTACTCAAATGATTTCCTCATTAGAATGACAGTCATAGAGTACTGCCTTAAGATATATTATGTCCTTAATTTCTATGCATAACACTAATGCATAAGTGACAAATTACGACGAAGGACGTCTTGACATTCATATAAAATGAATTACAGATTTCTCATACTTTCCATTACTATATTAACATTACTTCATAATATAACAAAGATATTTGATTTAAAAAAGTATTCATATTGGTATTTCTAATTATAACATGTTTATATTATATTATGACTATTATGAAGACGACGTAAGAACTATTAAAACTATGTTATAATAGCTTGTAAATATCTATCAGAGATATTTTGACATGCTAACTCTTTCTAGAACAGCTGATACTATTTCTTACTTGAGTTGTTCACATAGCTAACAAATCTTGTTGTAGTTACACAATCAGTTTTTACAACGAATATCTCTGATATTTCTATCACGTTAAGATAGATTGTACAAAAAGCTCGACTTCTATTTAACTATAATATTGCCTATCAGTATACCAGATTTATATGTGATATGTTATAATTGTCGTTCTGGTAGAAGGACACGCATTTTAATTTGGTATTGAGAATACTGACATACATGTATATTAATAAATTCAACACCCCGTGGCCATGCTGGTTTTAGTAAACAGATACCATCGGTATATAAAATTCATATTTTATATTGGGTATTCTTTTGCCCAAAATTATCATTCAAATAATAGAGATATATGAAAGTATATAAATAGACAATTTACCTGTAATCAGCAAGCAAGTTACCTGAAATAACCTGTAAGTATCATTCAAATTACCTGCACTGTATAAAACTAGGTCACATCTACACCTGGGAGTGGCTTAATACACTCATTCAGATTAGGATAACTTCGTCTTAGTAGTTAAGCTCATCCAGGCGCAATGTCGGTAATAGAATCAACAACTATAGGAAGCTTGTTGACCGAGAGTAATTTGAAAACCGGTTTGTTACTAAAAATAGATATTCAGTTTGACAACTATACAATGACGTCATAAGCAGGTCCGCGCATTTTTAAAGGATTTCGCAGTGTTATAAAAAATTCAACATAAAAGCGTTAATTAAGCGGTTACATTGATTATAAATACTTGGTTTGTTGCCAGTAATTGTCGATTTCTATAAAGAGAGTAATTGGAGTATTTGCACTGCAAATTAAACAAACATGGTCGAACAACTGACATTGTTAATTAATCTCTTTACAAGTTACACCGAATGTTGCATTTATGTTCAACACATATTTTTTACGCAATCACAGATTGGTTTCATTTGTCGTCACATAACTCCGTTGTCGGTCCGGCTAACATTTCGATCCTATTATTTGTCCAGAAGAAGACTATTTTTTTTCAAATTTGCAGGTAATGGTGTAACGTACATCGTTAAAATGTATAAATGAAATGAAATGGGGTTTAACGTCCTACTGTTCTGCTCCGAACTGGGCTAATGAAGATGGGCATACGCCATACAGTGTGCTATGAGAGAAATTTTGCTCGGACAGTGACACTACGGCCTACTCTTATATCGAATTCCAACTGTCAAGGGATCTTTTACGTGCACGCCAATGTGTACACGGGACCTAGGTTTTTCGTACCACCCGAAGGACTAGACATCTGTCCTTGTCAGGCCCTCCGTCCTGCATCACTGACAAGGGGAAACCACGCCGGATAATCTGGGTGAACTTTTTCGGCCAATGCAGGGATCGAACACCCGACCTCCAGGCTAGCGAGCCAGCGTCTTACCCACTTTGCCACGGTTAAAATGTATAAATTCCTGATTCTAGATCGCTAAAGCGTTTCCCGGTTTACATTTTAAACCACAGGACGCTCCCGAAAGAATACCATTGACCTGTTAATTCTCGTCTCTCTGGCCGACTTTAACTTTCCAAATTTTCGTTGGGTTGAACGATTTCCACCACAGATGGAGACGTAAGCAAACTCTTATATGTAACTCGGTTATCTATCCGCAACAAAATCATGAATATTCGCCTACAAATGTTAATAAACCCCATTCTCTTCGAATGTAGAACAAAAGCCATGCAAAACGGGAAAATGAGAGAAAAGACTCTAAACATTATGAAAAACATTCAAGGGGAATTAATGCTGATCTCTGTCCATATAGGATTTGTAGTGTCTCTATATATAACAATTCCCTCTTTCCAACTTTTACCGAACTTTGCAAGTTTTTTATGGGCTTTTAGTTCTAGAATCGAAGAAGAGTGTTTGAATTTTCATTTTCTGCCAGGGTTTAGTGAATATTCATGATTTTTGGATGGAAGGACCAGTAGGGCCTAAATAAGCATACATGTCTATACTAGTAGATTCCTTTGACTAAGCCTACAAAAAAAACCCCGAAAAGGTCAACCCCTTCCAATATATTTATCAGATGATTGTGACAATTTGGGCTCTTGGTGGTTATAAAGATTAATATCATCAGAAGGTTTAAAAGAAATGTCATGGGATGAGAATTACTAGTGTCCACGTGTATTTCCAGAGTAGCAGCGGTTGGTTGATTATACTTACCATTTTCTAGAACACCCAGTTAAAATGAAATATGTTATTTGCCACAGCGACATTTTCGTTCGTTCGTACCTAGAGTTTTACGTCCACTTCCACCAAGGGTGATATCGTAGACAATACATATATAACTAGTTAGTCACTGATGTGTGTGTGTGTGTGGGGGGGGGGGGTGAGTGGAGAAAAACCCACGAGGTTTTACAGGAGACACAACTCCTTATTACGTAAAAAGCTGGCATTCGAAATCACGTCACCCGACTCTGTGACAGACATTATAATCTAAAGCGCACGCATTAGCCCCCCCCCTACACCCAATCATCAAGTAGTATAGAAAGTATGTGTACATATCGTCACTTATAGCTATCCAGAGAGAAGTGGTTTGGATCCAGATTTCAGAGTACAAAGCCCGCCATTATCAGTTGGCGATGGGTCAATACCGACGTTAATATTGAGAATGACACGTATAGTTATTTGGGGAAATTGACTGGCAAACAGCTGCCTTTTTATCTCATCATCTTCGAATTTCAAATGTCAACACTAAACAATATTCGAATGTCAACAATATGCGATAGCATGCATCACTCATATACATATATCTAAAATTAGAAGATAGAAGTACATATTGTGGAATAGATTCAAACAGAATTAGAGACATTAACGTTAAACAACAATCAACTTCGAAATGTCACAGTCCACATTAGTCCACATTATAATGTTGCATCATTTGATTGTTAATATTTAATTCACCTTTATTAGTAATCATATATTTCAACTAAAGCATTAGGCGAGTCAGGCACTGAACTACCTGGATGCATTCGCATTGACCGCCAACAAAGTATACAGATAAATCCTGTTTTAAAAGATTATAAACATTTAAAAACATGTGCCAAAACTTTAGATATTAAATTTAGTAATTTTCCTTTTTATAAAGTGAAAGGAGAAACGTAGAATCAAATTTCAATGACGGATTTTTACCAGATATAAATGCTTAATTTGTTTTATCCCCCAACCATGATATATCTTATAAATTCATGTATAAGAATTTTAATATATTATAAACTTTTTACGTCCGAGGTTTTAAGGGAAATTTAAAGCCAAACATCTTTTATTATATTATAAGATTAATGAAAGGCTCCACAATGGGATTCATTAATGAGATTCTTTTCATCTCATTACGTCAATACGTTGGTGCTGTATTTTTGTCAAATTATACCCATAATCGCTCATATTTGGGACCTAAAAATTGACACAAATGGGTCGCAACGCATATCTCATATGAATGTATATAAATTGATTTACATTCAGTCGTTTCCGATTTTACTCTAATTTCACATAAGTTATTTCCGGCGAAATACGCCAGAAGTCTCAGTCAAATGGCAATCTCTAGCGTCTGGGTATTCTAGTCTACACCGATAGTATTTATTGCGCATGCTGTCCAGATATATGTCGTCACCGTTTAACATGAATCTATTTGTTAAGGCCAGCTCAATTTTCGGCAATGTCAATGATATGTAAATAAGGTTTGGGCACATGAATGTTGTTGAGAATGTTGGTTAGAGTTAGGGTAATTATTGGGGCTAGGTCCAAGGTTAGGGTTTACATCTCGTGACCATTGACCATTATGATACACGATCCGTGTACCAATGGTAAAATGTCTATTTTGTCTTAAATACTAGATATCAGAAGCCCATCTTTTCTCGGTAAGATAACATCAATGTTGATTTAAATTGACAAATTTAATAATTAGTGTTTTCAATGTCGAAGACTTTGGATGATACTGAGTTAGAGACTTAGCTACTTTAAAAAATCTTTTGTTGTATTTTACCTGATATTTTTTTTATAATCTGTTGTCAAGGTAATCTATGTATAAAACTATATGGCTGATGTTCAATTATTTATATACATTATAACATCTCAAGACGCTCAATTAAAAGCAGACAGCTAGCTTATTTTGTCCTCTCCCCTGCCTGTATGTCCGTCCGTCCGACCGACCGTCTGTTCACATTTTATTTGTGGACATGCAACAGGTTACAATCTTTATCCAATACAATATAATCATAAATAAACAACAAGATTATGGACATGTTAACGATTGTATACAGAGTCAGTTAAAAGCCTGATTAAATAAATGTGTTTTAAGTTTTTTTTTTAAAAAGAATATAGAGATTTACAACATCTTAAACTAAATGGTAGATTATTCCATAAAACAGGTGCTTGATAACTAAAAGAGCGCTGACCATAAGAGACTATTTGAACAGTTTTGGGCTTTAAAAGTAGTTTATCTGATGTATACGTAAAATTCGGCCAGGTGCATAAAGTTCTAAAAGATCCGAGAGGGAAACAGGAGATAAATTATTTAAACATTTAAAAGTAAGTAATAAAATCTTAAAATCAATTCGATATTTAACAGGTAACCAGTGTAAAATATATAAAACAGGAGTTATGTGGTCGCATTTCTTAGTTAAAGTAACAAGTCTTGCTGCAGTATTCTGTACGTTTTGTAATTTATCTATTAGCTTTAAAGGTAAACCAACTAAAAGTGAATTAAAGTTATCTAATCGAGAAATGACCAGAGAATTAACAAGTGACTTAGTGGCCTCTACAGTTACAAATTTACGTATTTTACCTATATTTCTGATATTAAAATAGCACAATATTTATAAATATTATTTACTTGAGGTCCCATAAGCATAAAACTATCAAAAATTGCGCTAATATTACGAGCAGAATAAGACGGAAATATATCACAATTACCAATTACAAGAGAGAGAGAGAAATGGGGTTTAACGTCCACTCGACACAAACTAGGTCATTTCGGGACTAACATATGGTTTAATGTTATTTCAATAATTCGCTTGCGCGTAGGGGTCTTTAGCAGTGGGAGGAAACCGGAGGACCCGGAGAAAACCCACGAGGTTGGACAGGCGACCCTACTCCTTGTCACGTACAACCGGGGGCCAATTACAATAGGGGGAGGTTATCATGTGCAAATTTACTCAATTGATGCCTTGAGCCTAATAACAAATATTCGGTTTTATCATTCAATTTTAGAAAGTTCTTTGACATCCATGTATCGGACCATAGCCTCATGGATTGTGGCCCCTGAAAATCACGTTTTAGCTTGTGAACACACTAGACGTCACAATTTTTATCTGATTTTGAAATATTTGCGTTTTCAGCTTGTGGATCCTCTCTAGAGGTCACAATTTTTATCCGAATTTGATGAAACTTAAACATGTTTATATCCCAAAGACCTTGGTTCCTTTCTATATTGGCGCATATCGGACCGTAACTTCCTGGAATATGG